CGCGCATGCGCGCGCCGCTCAGCCTGCGGCTCGTAGCTCGCTTCGCCGCGGGAAATAATACCGCGACATTAATTCTTTTGTATTAAATTTTGAAGGGAATAATCACGCACGAAATTAAGCATATCATATATTGTACTGCGTGCTCTTCGAAAATAACGAGTATACCGACGACAATACCGTAGAAACACAGTTCGATCCACATATTACTTATTATATGTATCATTTAATTTTGAACGAGAGAGAAATCGATGGGTTCCTCATTTTCGTAATCGCATGCGCATCTTCGTGACGTCATCTAAACAAAATGGCGCCTTATGAAAGGTCGCCGGCGGAAGCGAGGAGTGGCGGGCTTTGCCGGCTTTGGTCGAATTCGGCGAGTAATCAATGATACCTGAACAATGGTCGTTTGATGCTCATTAATTAATATTACTTGAAACCAATTATACCAATGTGGAAAGGAAGCAGATATATGTTTGTGAATTTATTAATAATATGCAGTTCCATTCCGAAGGCGGGTTAGAGTTGTTATCGAGATTCAGTGAGAAACCGCGTTCGATTAACCTCGATGACGTTCTATTCTCGAGCGACATCGACAACAGGAGCATCATAGAGATCGCCGGGGCTTCGGCCACTGGAAAGACCGTGTTACTGTGCCAATTCATAGCGAAATGCATACTGCCCGCGCGGTACAAGGGGATCGAGATCGACGGATGCGACGCTTGTGCGATACTGATCGACACTCTTGGCCACGTACAGATGAGCAAGATAGCTGAACTAATGCGTGCCACGGTACGCAGCGCGTGTCAAGTAGCCGCGGATGTACAGTCGCCAGCCGAAATGGTAGACTACATTGTAAATAAGTCATTGGAAAACTTGACGGTGATCAGCTGTTGCAACAACGATCAACTCCAGCTGACTCTGCACACTCTCGAGGATGAGTTTCTTGGCAATGAGAGGATCGCTTTGTTGGCTATAGATAATATCCTAGCGTACTATTGGCAGGCGAGAAAAGAGAGAAAAGAGAGTATACTCAGTATGGATTACTACGCTAAAGACTTGCTCAAAATTATCCGCGCGCAAACATTTCAATTTCACACTGTGACAGTTTACACCAAGTGGGACGGACCTGCAGTGTCTAAAAATGAATCATACGCGAAGCGATGTAGCAATCTAAAGAAGATAGGTGTAAATTATAGGCTGCAACTTGGCAAAAGTACTGTAATTTGTAAGCTTATATGTCGTGTACAATCCTGCACTGATGATGTAAAACAGATTTCTTATATAATCTCGGATTCTGGTATAAAATGGATTCCCGATAATAACACATAACTGAAGGTAAATAAGTTTCAATAATCGATTGATGAGAGAAGAACCTTGTCCACTATGTCTAAAGGATTTAACAATCTTGAACCTGCTATTGTTATTTGACAGTTTGTATTAAATAATGATATCATTTCTTTAGTCTCTCTTATTTCTTCTGGTGTTATACCTCCAATGACATAAATGATAATCCAATTGTTATCACATGGATGGTGTTTTATTCTTCCTTTAGAGAATAAGCTGTTAAAGATAAATGAATATGAAATAAAATTTGATTTTCTTTAGAATTTCTTCTTCAGAACAAAAATTGAGAAAATATCTATTTAAGACATAATTTTAAGAAATAAGACACAATAGTAGATGTTTAAACTTACTTGAATCCAGCAGAAATAAATGAGGGTGATCTCTGGTGTAAATCCGGAATTTCATATCTATCTGGATGGAGTATATCTTTTAATAATTGTTGCAAGATGCCGATACGTTGAACAATCTCTTGAGAACTCGATTTGGACATCAAGGAACTGTAAGGAATATAAAAGTCATTATATTTCTTATATTTGAGTACCTATATATAAATATTTTAAACTACAAAATATAAAAAATTAAAAGCGTGAATGCATCTGATTTCAAAATAAACTTATTGTTTTTCTGGATATAGATATTAAAAATAATAGTTATATATAGTTTCATACGTATAATTATGCAGAGGCGCACGTTGCTGTGCTATTTCATGTAAAATGTTCATAATGTGTTTCGCTATTTTTGCAGACTTTTCCTTAATAATCTCAGCATTGGCAACACCTAATTTAGACATAGTTGTATATTAGATATCAGTATTATGTAATAGATATATTGTATTATACACTGATTGTTTATCTTATTTAATTATTCAATAAGATCAAATATCAATTTCGATAAATTCTATATTTTTTACGATAAATGTTTATATAAAAAAATTAATTAGGTAGGACAAAACATATGTAGTTTAATATAATTTATATTTGTAATAAAATTATTATCAGTGCAGCAATTTTTGTTTAAATACAATTATTCACATATACAGAATAAATATTGTCATTTTCCGTTATCAAATAGAATTTTATTTGAATCTTTCTCTGATTTTTGTTTGTAATATCAAAATATTTTTTACAGACAATCAATAATCTTAATCATTCAATTGATTATTTCTGTACCTTGTAGCACATTTTCTACTAACCAAAAAGCGATAAAGTTTGTTGATACATTGACATGTTGCTGTTCATTGTATTTTTTTTAAATTTTGTTGTGTCCTCAAATACAGCATCGGTGATGGCTTCTTCTAATTGCTGCTCTTGTTGAGGAGAAAACTGTATTTCAGTTCCAACTAGTGCATAAATATGCACTAAAAGTGCCAATATATTGTCTGTATCTAATCCCCGTTTTTCGCGAGTTTTTATTATATTGCTTAACTGAAAACATTTGAAAAAGAAAAAGTGTGACCTTGGAAAAAAATGATGTAGATTGAGAGTGTAAGACACTAAATATGATAATTACTTGCCCAAGCACGCTCGTAGAGTCTCGACTCACAGCTATGTTTTGTAACACTAGTTTCTCGAGACTAATTAATAACTCTAATCGTGAAGTCTTTTCTGACGTTAGGGCTTGAATAATTCCCAGTACCGCCTGTAATAAAACAAGCAACATGCAAACACGTGATTTCCTTATTATGAAAAAATTACATATAATATCTAAAAATTATATTGGTCATCAAAGCAAAGCACGCATATTAAGTTTCAATATTTTTCAATATTGGAGTACATACTTGAAGCTTTTTGCTTGAGTCTGATATAGCTTGAAGATCATCTATGTCTTTAAATTTATTTACGAGCTTCTCTAAACTATGCGCAGAGATCCTCGTTGTTAGTTTTGGTTTAAAGTTTTCCCTTAATTTCAAATTTTCTTTTGCTGAAAGTATGTCGATGAGCATTTTATTCATAGTAGCTAATACTTCTTTTTGTTTCTTTGTGATTAATATATTCATCAGAGTTTTGTCATTGCTGGCCAAGCATCCTGGTACATGGTCGAATTTCTTAAAGCATACAGACAATTTTTATGCAATTTTTATGTAATAATGATATTTCTATAATCTAGTTTAGAATATTTACACGCGACGTATATCACGTAGATCTACTGTACCTGTGCGCTGCGAAACAGAGGAGACATATTTATTGCAACGTCATTGCAATGATGAGGTAAATGAGGTAAGGTACACAATATTCTGGCTAACAACGATTCAGTGTTATTACTAGTGGAAGTACAAAGATCTAACGTTCTGTCGACAAAGATTAGAGATACTCCCTTTCCCTTTGCACCAACTAAATTCTAATATAAAAAAAATTAAATATTTTTAGTACCTTTCCTGCTATCTTTTAATTAATTGAAATCATTAAAATATCCTTTCATAAACAATTGAAAAACTTACGTTTCTACGATCGATTGCCATTGATGATGTTTCTAATTTTTCAGCAACATATTCGCTGTATTTTCCCACTGAATAAATATCTTCTTTTAAATTCAAGTATGTCAATAAACTGTTGAACAGATTTACAAAATGATCAACTGTATTCTCAGAATTCTTTAACAATTCATTATTTAAGGGAGATAATAGATCGCTGAGAGGCGGTGTTACAAACAGACCATTATCAATTAGACTAATGAAAACTGGTCGAAACACTATTGTCACCGAACAGTCCTATAAATTAATATGTAATGATAAAACTTAAATAATATATAATAAACTGTCAACTTAAAGCCTGAGATTCACATATATAATATATATATAGAAGAGAGATAAAAATGAAACATACTACCTGCGACTGCTGATTAGAATGCATCCAACTTTTTACATCCCTTTTCAATTTGACATAATCTACTCTATCTTCTAGCGGCACTGTATCCTCATAATTCAATACACTTGAATGTGCAGCAGTAATAATTGTACAGTGTTCAAATGCATTTTTCTCTAATATCATTTTAACTGTACGTTGATAAAAAGCTAGATTGGTAGAAGTAGAAATAATAACTACTTTCTTGCAGTTCTGCACTTTGACATACTGTAAACAAATTGTATAATGAAGTAACAATTTTACAATTATGAAATTTTGAGCATGACAAATGAGCTTTTACACTAATCACATACACGAAAGTTGTACATGGCCAATTCATAAATTGATACCACCCCGGTATCCTTAAAAAAGGAATGTATTTTGCCACCAGTATACCAATGAAGACATTCTGTTGCTGCATGATCTATATAGACTGCAGATTCACTTACAAAGCCAGCAATATCATGCCAAGTGTCAGCAAGAAATTGTTCCAAATCATTAATGCCTTCCATTATATTAATTAAAAAACATAGCATAAACGTTGTGGAAATAATTTTTCACTTTTACTGTTTACAAATAAGCAACAAATTATAAATTATTACGTATATTCAACACTTGAAGTAACATGTAGTTACAACGTAATAACATTACTTATTGTTAATTAAAACAACATAAATTCTAATATAACAATATTATTTATAAGTCATCCACGTTGATTGTTATAAAATAGGATTTAACTTTTTATATCACAGAGAGTTTAAATTCATAATACTATTTTATATTTTAATATTTTAACTATTTGTTGGTTAAGATATAAGCTCAAAATCGCCACATGATTAAACAGCTGGCTATTACGTATAGTGTATAGTCATTGAACTTTAGGGAGTTTAAGGTCGGAACACTGCAGACTTGGGTTGCGTTTCCACTGAGCGTCACGCGTAATCCGAATTGACTATTCAAAACATTCCATTTTATTACGATGCGTTGTGCAAGGAGTCGCGCGGCAAATAATGCAATAATGCAATAAAATGGGATATTTTAGTTGATTAATTCATAACGCGACAGAAAACGGCGACGTGTGACGCGCTCAGTGGGAACGCACCCTAACATATGTAAATGTAAAAGATAAATTATTACATTAAGTTTACGTTATATATTATTATTTGTTATATAATTAATATATATTTACTTACATATAGCGTTTTCGGACGGAGCGCGGGTTTGATCGCTCCGAGAGCGATTAAATGACGTCACATTGCTCTATTTTAGATTTCTGATTGGACGAGGAGAACATGTGACGTCATTGATCGCTCTTGGAGCGATCAAACCCGCTCCGTCTGAAAAAGCTATTAATTTTTCATTTTAGCCTAGAATTTCTAGATTCCTTAACCATTCTACTGCAAAATCCCGCAGATTAAAATTATTTATCTCTTGTATACACTTTATGGCCGGTACTGGATTTCTCTAGTAATACTAGTGCGCATGCGCGTGAAAAAGCGACTTTCATAAAAACATTGCACGGGAATGGCGTCGCTCCGATCGACTCGGGAATTTCGCGCGGATCGCGCGTCGGTTCTATTTTAGTCGCGTGTGTGGGTGAATGAGGTGCCGTGACTGCCGTAGTGCCGTGGCGCCGGTCTCCGACGCTATTTTCGTCGTCTCTGCGTCCTCGCGAGTGAGCTCTCAGCGAGCTGCGGATCGGCGTGCGTGGTGCGTGCATGCGTGCGTGTGTGTGTGTGTAACGTGTGTGGTGTGTGTGTGACGCGCGTACGGGAGAGAGAGAGAGAAAGAGAAGGAGGTTAGTTTCGAGCCAGCGAGCCCGGGTCCGTGCGAGTTATCTTGCCTGGCATGCGGTTTCCCCGACAGCAGAACGCGTTATGGAACGACGTAACCCGGTCTGATGTCGGAGTACGTCTGACACGGCGTGTATCCTATACCTACTCCACGCGATACGGTACGGTCGCGAACGCCAATCGTGCTTTCGTACATATATACATGCCGCGCTACACTCGCGACGTTTCCCCGCTAGATCAAAACAAACGCAAATTGTAAAATGGGCTATTTTCGTATTGTCGAGCACATTCACTTGACAAAGAGAGAGAAAGAGAGAGAGAGAGAGAGAGCGAGGGATTATGCGCGGGGCAAGGAGGGGTGAGAAGAGAATTTAGAAGGGAGTTGAAATGGGAGGGGTCCCCTCCCCTTCTCTGCCCCATCAGAAGCCGTGTGAAGAGTGGAGGAAAGCGAATGAGACCCTCGTCGTATGGCGGGTGCTGCGGGGAAGGGACGGCGCGGGGCGGGGGAAGGGGAATCGTACTCCGGCGAGCAAATCGTGTATGTCAGACTCGTGGCAGAGGGGTCAACGCGAGGGAAAGAACGACACGAAATTGAACGTTTTCTGGGCTTAGCGGGTATGTTTTTTTACGTTGGACGTCGGCTGCACTTTGCTCTCTCTCATTCTCTCTCTCTCTCTTTCTGGTCCCTCCTAGTCACTTCTCGTCTAATCTTCCACTCACAATTCCCTCCTCTTCTCTCCTTACCTGAATTCGTCCCTTACAATTAGTCACCGTTTTCTCTCTCTCTCTCTCTCCCCCCCTCAGTTTCGCTGTTTTTCCCTTCTCTCTTCTCCCTCCCCATTTTAAAAAATCTCGAACCCCTTCCCTCTCTTTGGTACACGCGTCGCTGTCACCGCAACGAACGAACGTACGTACGCCGTGCAGGTACACGCATATCGATCTTCGATCGAGCGTTTCTCTCGGCCGTTTCGGAGGAGAGAAGCGTTCGCGGCTCTCGCCGGAATTCTCCCGGTTTTCCTTCTCTCTCTTTCTCTCTCTCACTTTGTCTCTGTCCAGCCGCTGAATCTTTCTCCCGTTGTAACGGGGCGAGCGTTGTAACAAAGTCGTGTGACATCAAGCTTTTGGCGTTTGAAGGAACGTGAGACACGCACACACGAGCAGGAAGGATGAACGACATGGAGGCCTACGGGGATGGATACATGGCACCGGAGGAGGAATGGGAGAGGGAGGGTCTCTTGGACCCCGCCTGGGAGAAGCAGCAGAAAAAGGTGAGCAAGTGTTATCATAGATGAGATTTTTTTCCTCTTTTTCTTTCTTTTTTCCCTTCATTTTTCTCTCGCTGCTTCCCCTTCGCCTCGAGGACAGTCTTTCGAATCTAGCCGGACGGGCCTCAGTTTACTTACTTTCTATATCAAGACCGGGACGCTGATCGCGTAGTCAGTAAATTCATTCATTCATTCATCGCGCACTTTTTCAACGTTTTATGTTATACTATTTTTGTACAAGTAACTCTCGTTGGTTTGCACAAAGAGTGCGGCAACGCGGTTTTGCCTCCGAATTAGCAAACGAATTTGCTGTCCCTTTTCACTCTTTAATTCCTAGGAGAAGATCGAGTGATTGATCGTCGCAAAGATCGAAATCCATTAAGAAAAGTAACAGTTAAGAAATTTCGAGGCCAAAATATCTTTGATTTGTTTTGCTCACACAATCAGATGTATTTTATCACATTTAAAGCGAATACAGTCTAACCATAGATATACAGAGATCCGGTATATGCATCCGGTACACCTGTTCCAGAGAGAAAGAGAAAGAAAGAGAGCGAAAGAGAGAAAACATTAGGTCATTTTCTTTCTTTGTCTGACGCGACGATCGCAGCTGTCTATTGTAAAGAACAGAAAAAGACCAAGTATCTTGTCTCTTGGAATTCAACATGCATACACTAACGATAACAATATACACGGCATATGCCAGGTCTTTCTCTTTATGTTTATGACACGCCTCAGAGAGTAAAAAAAAAAATAAAGAAAAATTCGAGCTAGAGAATTGAACAGAAACGAAGAGTCAATAATACTGTGCTCGTTTGCCAAAAATCACTTGCGTTGAAAATTGAACGATGTTCAATTTCGATTATCAATTCCTTTAGATTACCATAATCTTATCGGAGAAGGGGAAGGAGTACTGAACCAATCGAAAAATAATTTAAGTATCTGTAATACCGGAACGTGATATCACTTTTTTATAATCCAATATCATATACAAAAATAACGCTCATTATTTCACATTAATAAGCATGAAATAAATAAAATTTTATTTCATCGTTTTCTCTTTTGCTAAAAAATTCTTTTATTAAAAGGATTAAGTGTTTATTGCGAATTAAATTGTCATCAATATTAACAAATAGTTGATGGATTATAATTTAATTATAAAATAAGCTTTATACGAATTGAAGAGTGACATTTAGTTCATACTTAATAATTTTATTATATGTAAATGCTTAGCAATCGTAGTACACAAATTGTATATTATACTTTTATAAATGACTAAATTACATTTGATTTTTCAAATGTAATTTAATGTTGTAGCTGACATATGGATAGGATAAAATTTCTCTTGCATTTGACATTATCTTCAAAGAAAACTAATAGAGATATTAAAAATATTTATTCGACTAACCTTCTGTTGTTTAAATTGTTATAACGTAACATTATCTTAATCGGAAATGTTTAGAAAAAATGATTACTCTCAAGTGATGGAAAGACAGTGGAAGTACGACTTGTCTGATTTAAAGTGAACTTGGAGCAAAGCTTTTCGCGCCAACATCTCTTTTTTTTTAACGATTCTCTCTCGCCATTTCGTTTCGTACATTCGACGGAGCCATTAGATACTGATAAATTGGAGCATCCTCGAGTATGCGTTTGCAAGTATTTTCTTCATTTTTGGCAGGGGCTCAAGGCTCTCCCGGAGCCCCCGCCTCTTCACGTATATATCGGCCGCAGCCCTTCGGATTGTATTTTCAGACTTTATGACAAAAATAATCAAGAGCGCAATGAGTCACGTCCGTGATTTTCACGATGACTCGCAGCCATTCCCCTTCGCACCGACGAAACCTTTCCTCCTTTTCGCGTTATCTCTATCTTTTTTTTCCTCTCCCCAGTTCGACGCGACGCGCCGCGCCGGGCCGCGTCGAGCGATGGCGCGACGTCAAGTCAGGTATTAGATAAGCCGATACTGATAATGGTTACGCATATGCCAATAAAGCATAACGTCCGCACCGTGCCGCGTCCCTGAGAGCCCGAGCTCGCGACTCGACGCCGCGCCGACAGCGGGCATTTTTCGTAACGCCTCTAATTTTAGAGATCCGCGTGCCCCGTTCCGGAAACGCGCGCGGCCCGAAAACCCGCATTTACCAAGGCTCACGTCGTCGCCGCGAAAATTCATACCGTTCGTCGAACCGCACGAACGTATCGAACGTATCGAACGTTTGTTCACGCTTCATGGAAGAGCAAAGTTTACGCAAAACTTTCCCGTTTCAACGTTTTATGACGCAATGCGATTCCGCAAACTCAGAACGGAAGGAAGTACGAGAGATATAAAAGCAAAAGTATTCTTTAATTTCTTATCTTTTGCTTTTTTATTCTTTTCAATTTTTTACAAGAAACGATTAATAATCAGTAAATTAACAGAAATAAATAAAAAAAGACTCAACGAGCATTTGAAAAATAAGTTAATAGAAAATTCGAATGATTCATAATTTGCATATTTAAATTTTCTATCTCGTTTATAGAAATACGAATGTAAAAAGCACATTATTCATATGGAAGGATAGCGAAATAAAATAAGTTATTAATCTTTTTATCTACAAGTTGATAACGCTTATACGTTATCGTTGGTTTGGTTACGCTCAGTCTAAATTATCGATATGAGTTTATATCAATTAATTACATTCATTTATTATTATTAATTGAAATTGATTAAAGGACGTGTCATTAAATAAAAAATACGTCCTACACATTTTATTTGTTTTACAAATAAGTATAAATTCTATTCCTTGTTTACATCAAAACGTGTTACTATCCGTTACAGTTTAGTTTCTATGATAATTCGCGAAAGTTTCGTAACATCTGATAAGGAACGTATCGTAAGAATTTAAGAAAAGAATTATACGCGCGCGCGTTCTCACCTTGTCACAGATATCAGTACATTTACTTTTGATGTATATATACGTATATATCTCCGTGACGTGAGAAAATCGAGAAACTCGTCATCGTGGTATTTGAGTTACACTCGCTTTACGAGGCCTGGCTCGTACGTATATGTCTGGAATTGATAGAGTACGGCAGGGCGTGCCAATTAACAGTACCGGTTAAATGCGCTAACATGTAGGAGGAAGCGAACACTGTACGACACGCGTCGCGCCGGCCGATTAACTGTACAGGAGAATTTCTCGTAAAATCACCGGTCGTCACGTCGCCGGGGTTCCGAGTGCGCCGGCCGCGCATGAAACATTCCTGCGATAGGAATTTTTTTTTTCCTCCGCGACGACGTTTAAATGGGTCGCGGCTTGCTCGCGAAGACAGCTGCTCGGCGAGCTTTCAGGCCGCGACGATCTCGATCTATTCGGACGTTAATAAATATATGTTCTCACGGCGTGTCCTGCTGCTCCTTTCCTACCCTTGATTCTGGAATTGTCCTATAAAATCTGAAATAGATAAAAGACTTGTTTAGACCTTTACATTATTTTTTTCTAAATAATTAACACTATCATTTTAAAATTAAAATGTTAATTATTTAGAAAAAAGTGTTACATTTAAAACTAAAACGAGTAAAATGTCGCTTATAGGATAATATTAATATTTTAATAATTTATATTAATTTATATTAATTTTAATAATTCTAATATTTTCTCTTGAGTAGCTTTCAACATTAAATTTAATAAAATATTTTAAGTAAAATTATAAACAAAAAACGCATAAGAATGCCAATACAGTCTAAAGTGGATTTTAATGCTTAATAATACTATTTTTCATGTAAATTTGACAATCTTATTTAAACCGCGCGTCGAATATTGTCGGTCTTGAAACACAGCTCTAAATTGATCCGGAATATGTAATATCACAGTTGAATTTTTAACATTTTTTTATGGTAAATCCTATATGAAATAACTTGATGCAAAAAATATTACCTTAAATAAAATTATGTTTAATTTAAAATTATATCATTATATTTTGTACGACAGTAAATTTTTTTATTCGAAACATTTAATTATTGAGTGATATTAAATTTAATATTTTATATGGAATATTAAAATATTTTTAACTTTTTCTTTGATGGGCGAAAGAGCATCTGATGATTCTGGATCATCTTTCTCTTTTGTATTTAATGGTAACAGGTGTTTATTACCCTTGTGATTAGTCTTTATAGCATAAATATTTCTCGTTGCTCATTAAATCAGCTCGTGGATAAAACATATCAATTATCTGATGTCATGATTTTGTTTGTTATCAATATGTAGTTTGTTTGATCGATTAAGCGCACTACTATTTTTTATATTCCAGTCGTTTAGAGTATTCGGTCTTGGGTTTGATTGTTACTGCGAAGTTCGCCACGTGCACATTTAGCAGCTTATTGTTAGTCAATGTCGTAAGCATAAATCATTTCGTGGACAATTGTCTCAATTTATGGAGGTCATCTCCCTATACAATACGTTCATGCTATAACATAACACATCCAAGTGTCCATAGTGCTCGTTAAAATTTCTACTTACAGACTCATTATGACATACTAGCGCTTATCGTTGTCGATTAAAAATGGATACAACAGAATTATAGGTTTATTTTTTGTTTTTTAAATTTATGGGCCTCTTTTTTTTTGTCAAAACTTCTGTTTACTTTTATCTCAGATTGTGATGTTAGAAGCATAAAAGTACACAATAAAAGTTCTTGGAAAATATATTGAAATGGAAATGTTTCTCAATGAAACGACACAATCAATAGAACTGACTTGTAGTGGTGAGTGAACAGTAGCCTTAACATCGACTTTAAATATTCTATTGAATCTGTTTTTAAATTCGTACATTTTGGATCTTTCTAAAATTCTATCTAAAATAAAATGAAAGTTAGATATGGATTTTCCTTTGTATACTCTATTCTTTGCGCCTCTTCCAATTATGCAGTAGAACTACATTTATCTGTACTTCATTTATACGAACAAGTTTGTGCTCAGTTCGAGATACATACATATATAGGTACGGATTCATAGCTGAGCTCTT